GCGGACCTACAACCCCGCCCTCCTTGGCCCGGGACACCCGGCCCGCCCCGCTCCGCTCCGGCGCAGCCTCCCCCGGCGCCGGGCCCCGTCCCTTGCCCTGCCGCTCCCCCCGCCGGCCGCGCCGCGCCGCTGCCTCCGCGCCCCGCCGGGATGGAGGAGACGGGCGGGGATGGAGGAGGAGGCGCCTCTCACAATTTTGGGGGGGCAGAGGGGTGTCTGCCTCTCTCCTGCTCTCCCTCCAGGTCGGCCGCAGGGATGTGCATCCCCTGATATGTTCTCCTCTGCTGTTGTCTCTTCACTGGAGAAGAGACAGGGTTTTTACTGAGTTTGTCAGTCTTTCAAATATATAGGCTGGTTTAACCCAAAAGAAAGCTCTGCAGCAGGTATGGGCAGTTCAAGCCAGAGCAGGGCAGAGGGGTGGAGGTGGTCCTGGCACCATCCCCGCCAAGCACTGTGGGACCTATCCTGTGCCAGACCCAGCGGGTCCTGATGAGATCCCCCATCAACAGCAAGTCTGGGTGTGCTTGAACCACTGTGAGAGATACCTAACTGCTGGGAACAGTAACTCCATCCACCGCACCACCACGGGCCAGCTGAGTAGGGGTCAAAGCCCTCAGTTATATTGCTCAATCTTCCTTTGCAGAACTGATTTTAGCTAGTGAGGCTTGAGCCTGTGTGAAATACGGGCTTCCCGCATGTTGCAGGATGGGTTTAACCCCGTGGGTTTCCAGTGGTACTGTTAGCTAGAGCAGAATTGTCTCTGGGTGCAGCTACACCTTGCAAACGGTGAGCCTTGGAGTCCAGGCTGTCTCCGGGCGTGTGACTGGAGTAGTCACAGTGATCCTGGCTTCTCACCTTTTTGCATCACCTGCATTTTGAATATTTAAGCCACAAACCTTTAACGGAGCATTTATGCCACAGTTTGTTTCTTTTGTAAAAGTAAGGGTCAGAAAAATGGGCAGAAAAGCACTAATCTCTACAAAAACCTTTGTCTTTCCCATCTTTTCTCTGTTGAACACAAGACAACGCTCAGTGCGCTGCTCTGGGGTGCTGCTCTGAGTAACTACAGCAAAATGAACCACCTCTGCCTGCAGACGCACTGTGGCACTCGGGTCAGATTGTGCCTGTGTCAGGCTGGCTTTGGATCCAGATCTCTCCGTCATTTTTCTATTTTCTTTCTTTCAAGTTTGCAAACTGTGTCCTCAGTCAGCATTAACCACAGGGAGAATTTCCACTTGGAAAGTACAGGCAAGTTTCTTTACTGCTGTGCAGGCACTGGAAGGCTCGATTTCGGCTGTAACAAGGAAAGGGCTGTTCTGTTCCACCCTTGCTGACCGTCTAGGTCTGAAAGCTTAAAAAGGCCAGCTTATTCCTCAAGTCCTGATGTAACCCCGTGTATGGCATTTGCCCCAAGGCAGTGAAATTCCAGGAACTTGATACTTCAGGCTGTGACCTTTGAAGGGTTAAGGGAGGCCTGGCTGCAACCTCCGGAGCTCACTTTGATGCTCAGTTGAAGCCAGGACAGCTGCACTTGTAGTAGCCTTGAGTTGGGTCCTTTGGGCTTTGCCAGGCTGCCAGGACATGAGTATCATCCCCTGGGATGGGACATGGCCTTGGAGATGGATCCCTTTGCCTTCCTGAGCTGTGATAACCGGCTCTCCTGGTGGAGCCTGCTGACTTTCCCGAGTTTGCTGTGATTTAGAGATGATTCCTGCACAAGAGGGGAAGGCAGAGGAGTGGAGGGCTGGAAAGCCTTCCCTTGCATGGGAGCAAACCCGCCCATGTCTGTCTGGCGGCGCTGGCGGGGAGGGCTGGAGCTGGAAGGAATGCGGCTGCGTCTTGGAGAAGGAGCGCGAGCTGGAGTTTCTGGCTGAGAGGGAGCGACTGGAAAGCAGGTTTGCACAGAGTGGCCAATCTCCTCCGGTCCCTGCCTGTGTTCCCGTCCTCCCCCCTGCCCAAATCCTCTCTCGCCAGCTCTCCTGGCCAGGAGGTGGTTCGGCAGCCAATGGCTGGGGAGGAACCCCCCCTCCCCCCGCCCCCCCGGGGGGGGGGTGGGTGCGCCAGCCAATGGCTGCTGCAGCCAGCTGGATCTTGCAGGTGGAGATGGCGGGCAGCAGTGCCCCTCGCTGTGCCAGGCCTGCCAAGTCGCAGTGGCAGCCCCCCGACGTGAGGAGGCATTGGCTGTGTCTCCATCGAGAAACCCCCCCTCTGGCTAATGGCTCTGGGAAGCAGCGTGGCCGGGTGGAATGAGCCCTGGGGTTCAAGGCAGGGGTGAAAATCCTTTGCCTGGCCCCTCTGGGCACCAGCTTTCCCACTGGGTTCAAACAGCTTGGCAAAGCACCTGCAAAGTGAGCATCCCTGATAAGACCTGCCCAGGGCTCCGCAGCCGGGAGTGACCCTGTGCAGGATTTGACCCTACAGCTCCGGCTGGAGCACAGCACATCCAGCAAGGGGCTGTTAACAGGGGGACCTCACAGCTTCACCAGAGCCCTTGCAACATGGATATTTTTAGTCCGTGCAAATGGCGGTGTTTATTTTTCTACTGTTGTGCCTTTTCGCCTTTCCCAGGGATTTTATTGCTCATGAAAGCGAGGGCCTTAGAGCCATGAGAGTGTCTGTGCTGGCTGCTGCAGTGGCTCTGTCTGCCTCCATCGCTCCATCTGCCCATGCATTACCCATCCGATATCCCCCAACGAGCCCGGTGACAGTGAGGTGACGGGCTGTGACTCGCAGAAGCACCTCGGCTTGCCTTGGCCCAGACTCTTCCCTGGGGCTCGGATGCCTGTGTTGCAACTTGAATGCATGCATGAGGTTGGCGATGCGTGTGCAATCCCCCTCATCGACCCTCATCGGGATGGGATGAAACAGAGGAACATTGCAAGCTCGTTTATTGTCAGTGTTTCAAATCAGTGTTTTTTATTACAGAGACTCAACAGGTTGCTCACACTGTGGCAGGAATTTAATAATATAAGGCACAAGGAACATTCAGAGGTAAAAAAAGAGTTCTCAGCCTGTGAGACTTAACCATCCCTTCGCTCCTGTCAGGACCCTCTCTATAAAGCAAAATCCAAATACCTTCTCCCTTCCCTCCCGCCCATCCCTTAAACCCCCAAATCCACAACAGGAAAAAATTATTACAGCCTTTCCCTCGAGCGTGTGGCAAGCACGCCTCTTTCTGAGCAGAAATGTCCCTTCCAAGCCTGACACAGCTTCCCTCGGAGGGCAGGGCTGGAATTTAAGCACAAGAAAGGTAGAGGTGGCAAGTGCTCGAGGGCACCGTGATTTGGGGAGAGCCGAGAGCTTTATCTCAGCTACAGCAGAATGGCAACAGCAAGGTCAGCCACGCGCACCCAGGGAACAGGCGGCCGCACCCAATCTCCCTTTGCAGCACAGAAAACACAACAGCAGTACGGTCATTGAGTAATGGTAAAGCACGTAGCACTTTCAAACCTTTATTTTTTGAGGGGATTTTACAGGATGGGATGTGTTTCATTTTATTTTTTTTAAATTTTGTGCACTTTCCCATTCATTTGTTTGATTATCCCTTTTTTTTGTGCCCAATGATTGTCAGATTCAAGCCCTGGGAATGAAAAAAAAAAAAAAAAAAGGAAAAAAAAATCCTGCCACTCTAACTCTTTCTCACCCCTC